GCATCCTCATGTCTTGGTTGGACGGGTTCCAGACGCAAAGTCGGTCATCTGCATGGTGGATGAGGTGTACCTGTCTATTATGGGACAATCTGGGTGTCGTCAGGAGCGATGGCGGCAGGGCAATGGCTGCTAACACTGTTTTGCCCTCAATATCTGGGAACTCGGCAAGGATGGCCTCCCATACCATACCTGCATAGGAGCCCGCGCTGTGCCCTCGAATGAACAGGGAGCCCACCATGTAGCCTGTTAACTTTAAATATTCCGCAGGACGGATCTCAGGGGGCAAGCACACTCCAACCAATGGGTGCGCCACAAGCAGTTTGGTGAAGAGTCGTAGGCTGTGCTTGTATCTTGGCCATGGTGGTTTCCTGTGTGCCGGGGTAATGGGACAGAAACGCAGTAGTTTCTTTGCGCGGCTGATGATCTGTGCCTGCAGTTGGTGGGCGTCCGGCACTCCGAGAACATGGCACCAGGTGTGGAGGCCAATTGGGAACATGGCAATATGCAGTAGTAGGTATTCTTGGGTATGGGCGGTGCCTGCAATTGTGCCAGCTCTTGCGTTCCAATCATCCTGCTTGCTAAGTGACGGTCCGTAGACATGCGCTTCCTTTTTGCAAGCCAAAAGTACCTCCCAATCTTGGTCTAGCTCTCCTCCACCCAATCCAGTACACTGAACATCCAGGGACCCTGTGTCAGCGGGATTGAGTTGCCAGGCAGTATTATCCATAATAACGATCTTCTGGGGGTCAGCATGGCTAGCTAGGACTTCATTGATGGCCAGCTCTGCGTTGCTAGAGTCAATTCCCAACCGCTTTTGCAGTGCCTCAAGGAGAGGGAGGATCTGGCCGGTGGGCAATTGGAGACATGGAGCCAGCACACAAGGCCGTCCACAACATTCTTCCCAAGCTGGAGGCAAGCATTATTGAGTTCCTCTCCGAGTGGCTAGTACTGGGGGGAGATACATGACGTACAGTCGAGGTCCCTTTATAGCCGCCATGTTTCTACTAGTTTTTTGGATCCTGTTTTCGGGGCCATGATGAAGCAGGCTTGTCGCCAAACGCTAAAGTCTTTGCTGAATGTCTTGTTGGCGTTCGTTTGGGGTTGCTGAATTTCTGGCTTGTTGTCCACAGAGGACGTGGGCGGTTTGGCAAGTCTGGGGCCAGGGTGTGTGGTTGTTGTTGTGATTAGGGACATCCACTGGCGTCCAAAGACTTTGGAGCAGCAATACTTGCGTTCGAGTAAGGCTGCGCTGTTGTGCCACTTGTGGTTTTGCTACCAGCTTGCTTCCTCTGACGAAATCGCAGCCTGTGGGATGTGTCCATAACGGTGGTGCTTTGTCAACTCCTATGAGTGAGACGGCAAGTGGTTGCAGCCCTTGACTTTGCCGCTGTTGGAGCTTCTGTCCTAGGCCAACCTTGCTCCCATGGAAGGCATGCACTACGGGTGGAAGGCCGTACCCGTCGTCTAACTCTTTGCTTTTTAAATAGCTTGTCCCCTGGAAGGCAAAGGATGGGAAAGTGGGCTGGAAACACCGACATGGGGGAGAGCGCTCCCTGCTCGAAGATGGGACGAGCCCATGTGAGAAAGGGCGGGGTTCGCTGGACAAAGTCTGGCCGTAGGTACCGACCGTCTCCGTGACGCGGCCATTCTCCTTGCGCGGGGATAGGGAAGGCAATGATTCCGGCCCACTCCCCTAGCATCGCCCAGGCATGTGTCCAGTCTAGTGGGGTCTTGGCCTTACATCCGAGTAAGGGGGTAAGAACCAGTCCACCTCTGATCGCTTCCGCAGGGTCTTCTGGTACCGCTGTGGTTGCTAGGAAATTGGCGCGGCTGTTACAAAGCGCAGTGACCCATTCATCCGCAGATTTATTATTGGCTGGAGGGACAATACGTCTTGCTTTGGGGGCGCGCGCATCACTAGCGTCGGAGCCGGCGGCTTCAGCTGGTGGCATGCTGGCATCCGGGGTGCCTTGGTCCATGTCGACATCTCCTGTGTGGGTTGGAGCATGTCCTGTGACTATGATCAATCCAGCGTTGAGTTCCGTTTTGGCTTCAGTCATGAGCAGGACTGGCGGGCATTGACTGGAACTGGCCATAGTGTGGTGCTGCATTGCCTCGGCTCTGCTCGCCTTATCTGTCATGAGATTTACCAGTTCGGCTATTTCAAAGAGCGAGGTGGGCACGCAATCGGAGTCCGCAAGCGCAAAGTTTACCGTGGGGTAGACTAGGCACAGAGCTTCAAGGACAGCAGCGCCAGCCCAAGTGTAATGGACCTGATGCAAGCCTGTGTCAGAGTTGATGGGAATATGGATAGCAGTTGTTTTCTCTTGGTATGTGTTTACTCACGAAGTGATAAGCACCTTATTTCAAAAATGGAAAAAACCAAAAGTTGCCAATTTCAACTGGAACTTTTTGGTGAAAGCGTGTTACAGTTTTTTGTCAGTTTCGTTTTTCCAAACTGTCTGTTTGGATGTTTCTCAGAAGTGTTCAGTTTTCATTTCATCTCATTCCTCATTTTACACCTCAAGCGGTGGGCGGTGGGTTCCTTCCAGTTTTGGTCCAAAGGACCGCGTTTAGCTGGGGGGTGAGCTATGGCGGAGCCCTCGGACTCTGCAAGTGTGGCAGAAACGGCATTTGAGCTGTTTGGAGGGCACAGTTTCGATGCAGACAATCTATCAGTTGGAGATGCTGTTTTTCCTGAAACTGCCAAATCTGGTTCTATTCCAACAACTTTTGGGCGAGATGTTTTCGACAATCTGGACTTTGCAAGAGCCGTGGATTCTTGTTTTAAAGCCTTGGAGTCAAAACCTGTGATGCTGCCTTGGGAGACACGTGCTTGGAGACCCATTTTTCAACAGAATTTTGATTACATGGAAGACTTCAGCATGGGCAGCATCTATCGTCCAATTTTGCCGGGACCTGTGGCGGAGCTCTCAGTTCAAAAGAAGGTTAAACTGTCACCTCCAGCTGTGTTGACATCAAATTTTTCACGTGCAGTTGTGAAACATCCTGAAGAGACTTGGATGGACAAAAGGGACTCTGAGTTGCAGACAGGGTTGAAACGTTGGCTCACATGCATCATCTCTTGGGACCCCATGGAGAAGGTGGTACAGGAACTACGTGGGTGTTCAACCATTGCTGATGGTTTGTCATTGCTTCGGGACTACATGGGTACCAAAGTACCTGCAACGTTGTACAAGCGAGTCAACAGTTTGGGAATCCTTTTTCAACATGTCAAGCTTCATGAGTTTCCATGTTCTGAATTGCAACTGTACCAGGCATTGTGCGACCTTCGAAGGGCTGGTTGCAAACCAAGTCGCATCAAGGGCATCGTCGAAGCCGTCACTTTTTGCAGATTTGTTTTTGACATTTCAAAGCTTCAAGAATGTGTGAGCAGTAGGAGATGTCTAGGAGTTGCCAGAGGTTTACCGTCAGACTCACCTTGTCAAGCTGCTCCATTAACTGTCGTGCAATTGACAGAGCTTCACAGATTGGTGCGGGAATCAGCCGACGTCTGGGACCGAGTTTTTGCAGGGGCTGTGTTATTCTGCGTATACTCACGCAGTCGTTGGATGGACTTTCAACATGGTTCGGAGCTCAAGTTGGAATTAGTTGGTGATGACATTAGGTACATATCCTGCAAAGTTTCAACTCACAAAACCATGCATGCTTCTGCTTTTCGTTTTCGGTTTTTGGAGTTGTGCGCACCTGCGCATGGCGTTGTTGATTCTGACTGGATCGGGTGTTGGATGGATGCCAGGGCATCAGTAGGGATACAGGAGGTACATCCCCCTATGCCCGCGCCTTCAGTGGAGGGAAAACCAACAGTGCGACCTCTTGGAACAGATGAGTGCGGCTCTTGGTTGAGACTCCTTTTACAGTTGAACCCGGTTGCATCGCAGAATGAAGTTAGGATCACATCGCATTCATGCAAGTGTACCATCCTTAGCTATGCAGCAAAGCGTGGACTCCCACATGAAGAGCGTTTGGTGTTAGGACACCATGCTCATCAGGGACGCATGGCTGATGTGTACGCACGAGATGCAGAAGCTAGGCCCATGCGCATGATGGAAGAGCTTTTGGACGAGATCAGGAATAAAAGGTTTTTTCCAGATGAGTCAAGAGCTGGCAGACTTGTGAAGGACAGTTCATTGGTTGCCGCAGTAAACCTTTCTCCATGTGCACAGCCCGCCAACCTGTCAGGTGAGCTTGAACAGGTGAAACAGCAGTCAGATGAGGCAGGCTGGGAATGCATATCAGTGGCATCAAGTGCGTCTGAACGCCAAACTTCTGATGCCCAGTCAGAACATGTGACAACTGATTCATCCTCAGATGAAAGTGAACAGTCCAGCGAACCGCCTGCACCTCCTCGTTTGTTTATGCCTCCGACGCCACCTGAGGGATGTCATTTTTTGCAGCACAGTAAGTCAAAGACTTTACACATAATTCAGGATCACCGTGAAAGAATCCTTGAATGTGGTCGCAAAGTGACCGATGCGTACACCAGGGATTTTCAGATCAGGTGGGACTCCTCAGTTTGTTCAAACTGCCTGAAGCAAACGGCAGGTTTGGCTAGGAGTGGATAAAAGTTTTCAGAATTTCTGCGGCATTCTTTTTCAGATTTTTCGGCAAGTCATTTCAATTTTTTGAATAAGCATGAATCTGTTTCCTCAAACCGTTATTTGCAATCAGTATGGTGCAATTTCATTCATCCAGTTGCTGAGCCACGTGGTTCAACCAGTGAGCTGTCCGTGTTGGGTAATTTCTATGTCCCACACTGGGTTCAAGCAACGGGGCCATTTCCAGTGGCAGTACATGCAGTTACCACGTGGTTTCTCCAGTGGTTTTTTGCCGTGTTGGGTGAAGGCTCTTCTTCCCACACTGACTCAGCAAAAAATGTTGTCAATTCAAACTGACAGCCATGCTTGTCGAAAACCTCACTATCACATGTCAGGCATTTTGAAATTGTGTTGTAGTAGGAGTAGGAACTCTCGCAAGCCATGTCATTACTTGATTCTGAAGCGGCCTTCAAAAAGAGGGTCATAGAGATCGGTGACGAAGTGCTTTTCCAGACACTAGACAATTCAGGTTTGAAGACGTTCAGCGGTTTGGCCTTTGCTTGTGGGACGCCGCAGTCCCAACCAGATGATGCAGCCTTCGGAGCTTTTGCTGCAGGAGTTTTTGGGGTTCCACCTACACTGGGCCAATTGTCCCAGTTGAGGAGGTTGCACTTCGAAGCTTGCACAATAGTGTTCGCGACCTTGAAGAGCAATGTGGCTGGCGATTTGACCGATGGGATTCGAAAGTTGCCTCCCGCCGAAAAGCAGGCAAGGGCAAAGGATCAGCAGACCAGACTGACTGGCATTGCTCTGTCAGGTGAAATGGAACCCAGTTATGCTTTGGTGGACAAGTGCGCCAGCATGAGGGAAACAGGGTCGCTTCTCTGGATCCACCCTTCACAATGCACAAAACGTGAACAAGAGGTACAGCAAACCTTGAAGGAAAAATCTCAAGTGCTGAAGATTGAGAACATGACACTAAAAATGGCCGCAGACACTGAGACCTTTGAAGCTGACCATGGAACGGAATTGAAACTTATGTGGTGTTTTCAGCAACGTGGATTGGCATTCGACCAAGCAGCTCTGATTTCTTGGGACAAGCATGAGAGTTGGGTATCAGCCATGTTCCAGGCTTACTCAGCAGAGCCACCGCCTTCATTTGCGAAGGTGACCATGCCTCAATTGTTGCGAGCCGACAAGGAGTTGTTTACGATTTTAGCAAGGGAAGTGGAATCCATCCAGCCCGATAGTGTGGGAAACCGACCGCTGGATGACCAAATTACAAGGTTGAAAACAGACCCAAGGGTGACCATGCACTTACTGCCATTGCCTACAAAGGCGCATTCGGTGGAGGCATCCAACGCTAGCAAACCAGACGCTGGCAAACCAAAGGCAAAAATTAGACCGGGCAAAAGGGCCCGAGCAACAACGGAGGTAAAGATGCCGGATGAGTTGAAGGGTGGTCATTCAAAGACGAGTGACAACAAACCAATTTGCTGGGCCTTCAACATGAAAGATGGATGTTCAGCAAAGACCTATGGAAACCCTGTGAGATGTTCGAAAGGAATCCATATCTGTGCATTCTGCAGAAAAGGTGGACACACCTTCCTTTCGTGCCGCCAACGCGGAGGAAGCTGACTAGGTGATGAGCAAATTCAACAAGAGCAACTAGAAAGCCCTCGCCAACAGGATGAGGGCTTGTGCGAAACTGCAGAGCAAAGTGCGGAGCCTTTTCCAAGCCTCGAAAGAGGCACAGAGTGGAATGACTTGCTTTTTGGAGAGATTTTTGCAGGGGCAGCACAGTTAAGCCGAGCTCATGCCAAACGGAATTTTCGAGTTTCATCTGTGGACCACGCCATCAAAAGGTCCACAGGGCTTATCACCTTTTTGGACCTCACGAAAGATAAGGATTTACACTTTTTTCGGGACTTCTTGGAAGCTGAACTCAATGTGCTGGTGTATATTCACTTGGCGCCGCCCGGCGGCACAGCTTCAGCAGCCAGAGGAATTCCTGTTTCAGGTTGCCCTTAATAGATGCAGCCTGTGCCCCTTCGTTCAAAAGAATTTCCTGACGGATCACCGGGGCTCACTGAACTCAACTTGCTGAAAGTGGAAAAAGCAAGTGCACTATGTTGCGCCACCGCTGTCATTGTTAAATTTTGTGTTTTGCACGGTATTTTGGTTTCAATTGAGAATCCTTGATCGAATGGCAAACCTTGTGGATCAAGCACTGCAACAATGCATTTTCACCAAACTCCTGCTGAAAAGTTGGACAAACTTTTGAAGACTTTCCCCAAAGAGAAGGGGACAGTGAACCGCAAACTCATGCATGGGGGTGACTTTCGGGTTTGCGATAGTGTGTTGAAGGATGAGTGCAGCTCTCAGAAGAGAAACTGCATATGCATAAATGGTTTTGCTGGCAATTCCAAGGCACCTCAAAAAGTGGGTGAGATTCGTTCAATAGGGATTCCAAGGGAACCGGAAGATTTCGTAGCTCGTGCAGCAGCTACAGGCCACCAAAGGAACTTGTTTGCAGAAGATTGGTCAGCACGCGATTCTTTCGTGCTGGAGTACGCCTCTATCCGGAAATGGCTCAAAAGAGCAAGTGAGTTGGCCAGCAAGGAGAAAGACTTGCACGACTCTTTGGACCCTTTGGACCCAGAAGTAGCAAGGGTCCTCAAGGGCAAGAAGCTTCTGGCGCTTGAGGAGATCTTGAATGACATTGGTTTTCCTGATCGACACCTGGTAGAGAAAGGGTGGTTGGTCGAGGACGAAAATCCAGACCTGGACATGCCTGTGGTTGTCAGGCGTTTTTGCCTGATGCAGAAATCTAAGGTACGAGTCATCGATGATTTCAAGCAATGTGGAGTCAATGGTTCAACGGGTCTCCATGAAAAGTACGTGCTGTACTCCATGGACGCCATTGCGGCCACTTTGGTCTGAGCGTTATCAGTGGGGCGGCCTGAGGGCGAAACTTTGGGTGGCACAATTTTTTATTTGGTGGCAGCCTACCAGCAACATGCAATCCACCCCAAGGAACGTGAAAGAGTCCGCATTTGTGTGAAGGATGTAGAACAAGGCGTGGCCAAAGTGTACAAGATCAGTGCGCTCCCCTTCGGAGCTTCGAGATGCGCAGCTGGCTTCCTTCTCATATCGACAGCCTTTGCCTGCATTGGACAGGTATGCCTGGGATTTTGGTGGTCGATTTTCTTCGGCAACTTTCCTACCTTGACCACCGCCTTGATGGCGGCCCAATGCAAAGCTCAGGTGCACTGGTTGTTGGATCTCTTAGGCATTGATTTCGCCCGATGATGGAGACAAAGCAGGTGCCTTCGAGGAAACCTTCAAGGCATTGGGTTTACTCATTGACTTGACTAATTTCTCAGCGGGAAAAGTTCGAATCGGACATACCGACAGCCGTAAACAGGAGCTGCTGGACCTGATAGCATCACCCCTTGGCCAAAATTTTTTGAAACCAAAGGATGCGGAAAAGCTCGGAGGTCGTCTGCGGTGGTATGACACCTTTCAGTTTGGGAGGTTTGCAAACTATTCCATGAGGGTGATCAGCAGGGGAGCCACCTCTTGCTCTTTGGATGGTAGCTTAGACCTGCAACTCCGTCTAGCCTTGCAGTTTCTCAAAGAGCATGTGTCCGTTACAAAACCAGAGGAGCTGACCAAGTCAGCCGGAAAAACCTACTACATTTTCACCGATGGTGCGATTGAATCCACGGCAGATGGGTCGCAAATCGTGGCCTCTGTTGGGGGCATCTTATACAACATCAATGGCGAAGCCGAAGCCTTCTTCAGCGAGCGGGTCCAACAGCTGATTTTGGACCTGTTCCTCCAGCGTTCCAGCCACCCTATTTTCGAGGTTGAACTTCTGGCAGCGCGGGTTGCTGCACATGTATGGGCCCCGGCCATCGCTAAGTCCTACGTGGTGTTTTACGTAGACAACGAAGCCGCAAGGTTTGGTTTGGAAGAGTGCCTTCGTATTCAATCCCTGCTGTCAAACCCAGTTGTTCGAAATCCAGCAACTGTTGGACGTTGGTTCCGCTTTGGTTAAGCCAAGCTGGGATCAAGTCTTGCTTCTAATCGAAAGGAAGGAGCAGACACTTTGATGTGGGGTGGCTAGCGGGTGTCTTACTCGTGAATATTACCCCAATGCGGAAAAAGAAGTTTTAAATCAAGTCCGACAGTGAGCTGCGTATTTTCGATCATTTTTCATTTTTATTAAATTGAAGAATCTAAGCGCGTCGAATTTTAATTGACAAAAACTGGAACAAGCGTTCCATTTGGAAATAAGTGTTTACTCACGAAGTGATAAGCACCTTATTTCAAAAATGGAAAAAACCAAAAGTTGCCAATTTCAACTGGAACTTTTTGGTGAAAGCGTGTTACAGTTTTTTGTCAGTTTCGTTTTTCCAAACTGTCTGTTTGGATGTTTCTCAGAAGTGTTCAGTTTTCATTTCATCTCATTCCTCATTTTACACCTCAAGCGGTGGGCGGTGGGTTCCTTCCAGTTTTGGTCCAAAGGACCGCGTTTACCCTCCCTCTCCACCCTGTGTCCTCACCCCTTCTGTCGAAGGTGCGTGTTTTCTTCCCCTCTGTCGAGTGGGTTTTTCTCTGTCTCCTTTTTTCTTCCCTCCCCTCTTCGCGGGGTTTTACCTTGCCTAGCCCTAAGCCTGGCTAGCGGGTGTCTTACTCGTGAATATTACCCCAATGCGGAAAAAGAAGTTTTAAATCAAGTCCGACAGTGAGCTGCGTATTTTCGATCATTTTTCATTTTTATTAAATTGAAGAATCTAAGCGCGTCGAATTTTAATTGACAAAAACTGGAACAAGCGTTCCATTTGGAAATAAGGTCCAATGACTTCACATCTGCCTTTGATCCATGGTGCTAAATACGGCCAGTACTCAGGAGGATTGGTTCCTGATAGCGCACGGTTGTCCACGAAGACATAGACAGTGTCATACTGCGATAACCATGATAGATTGTCCACAATCTACTGAAAGAGAGTCTTGTGGTGGACCTGGCTGACTGCGGGCCGGCGGATTCCATTCTCATCGTCTACCATCAATGTCGGGTATGTCAGGGGTGAGCGAGGCATCCGACGGGAGCCTACGTCTGCCCACTTCCAATTCTGCTGGGTGTCATCCATGCCAAGCGGGGTTTCAATCTCTTTCTCAGAGAGGAAGAGTGCGTCTAGGTGGTGACTTATCTGTAGGGTACCCTGGTAGTCGGAGAAATCAATAGGCGCGGCAATTTCCCACTCCTCTCGTGGGGGAAGCTCAGCTCCTTGTTGGAAGTAGGGAGTGTCAGCTCTGTTGGCTCTGCGTCTGTGTCCGAGTCGTCAGAGTCATCAGGCGCCAAAGAAATGAAACGGTTCTCAGCCATTAGCTGTTGTATCATCCTTGCGCGGGCTTAACCCTGAACAACCGGTACCCGGTGTCAGGCTTCTGTTGTATGACGAGTGCTGTTAGAGGCTATCAAGGCTGTAGGGTTCAAATGTTGCCAGTGGATCGGCTAAGCTGGGGGAAACCCCGAACAACCGGTACCCGGTGTCGGAGTTTCTCGTTTGCGAAGGCGGTCCAATTGAAATTAAAAAATGGGGGGGCAACTCTTTGAAACCAATCTATCGCCGTGAGGTGCGAATTGCGTTGCTTATGGCTGACCTAGCAAAAAACTAGTAGAGCCGCAAAAGCTGCAGTGAGAACAATGTTGCGCTGTGACCAATGTTGGGAACATACCACAAATACAGTGAGATCAACACAGACCAAAGCAGGGTTCGAAGACGCGACAAGAAACAGAGACATGGGACCTGACGAGACAAAAACCCCTTGAGCTATCCTTAGGGGGTTCATTGTTGGTATGGTAAGCCCCTGACTGCCCTAAAAGATTTGGGGGGTGACACCCTCGCACGCGACTGCTTTTCTCCTGGCGCAGCTGTGGAGTGCGGCGACAAACTAAGCTGGCACTAACCGGATGAGCTCAGATCAGTCTTATGTACCCTGTCGCGGCCAGCTGTCGATTCACTCAATCCATTAGTTCCATTTCCGTGTCTACGATCGGGGAAGCCGTAGGAGTATCTGTTTCTTGGTCATCCTGCATCGTCTTGAGGCGTTTCGTGATACGACTCAGGTTATCACGGGCTCTGGCTAGTCGTGTGGTTAGGACTTCCACATTCTCACTGGCTACCCTCTGCCAATTCTGCAGTGTGGGGATATCCGCCGCAAAGAGGTCATCCTCCCGGACGGGTTCACCGGCCGGTTCAGGGCTGCTGACAACGACGGTGTCAGTTGCCAGCGTGTCTGGTGATTCGGTTGGTGAGTCGACAGGCGTAGTTCTCTCATCGGGACCCTTCTTATTGACACTCGGTTGTTTGTGTCTCGGCGGTGGCTGTTGCTTGGTTCCGATCTGTACTGAGGGATGAGGGGAATGAGTGGATAACTCACCGGTACCCGGGGTATCCGTTTCTGGCTCATGTGTGGATGGCGGCGATGGTGGCGCTGGTCGCTAATCGGCCAGCGATTGTGCACTGACCTTAGGGGGACGATGGCTGTCCTGTTGAACTGGAGCCTCTGTCGCTGCATTTGTACTGATTTGAGGTGTCACGGTGGTGTTGGTATCCCCTGTGGTAGGCGGGCTTGAGGCCGACAGGCTAGCTGATGCTTGGGACTGTGTGGAATTGGTTGGTCGGCTATCTGCAATCGTTCGTTGTCTCATGCGGGCAAAAGCTGCTTGCAATTCCATGTATTGTCTTTCATGATCGGCTACCTGTTGCGGAGATGTCTGGGATCCCTTTGGGTCCTGCGGAGCAGGTTCTTGAGGTGCTTGCATGATCTGCTTTTCTTGGGGTCGTTCCTGCCATCTGGTTGGTTTCGGCGGCGGCGGCTGCAACTTCTTGGCGGGCTGGGAAGGTTTGAGTTTGTCAAGGCGTGGCTGAATCTCATTTCGCAGTTCGGGTGGATACGCCTCTCCTGTCTCAGATAGCCACTGTATTGTATGCTCATGCAACCACAAGGTTGTCCTCCGCAACGGGATGGTCTGGTCATCATTTACCCAGAAGAGTGGGGTAGGCGGGAGTAAGGCATGGGCTTCAACGATCAAAGGAAGCAGGAAGGCCAGTTTCTTCTGTTCAGTGAAAACCGCTGCCCCATTCGGATGAACCTTGAGGTAGGTATCATTCCACACGAAAGGTCTCACAACCCTCATGGTGTGGGCGAAGTCATTAAAAATGGATAAACGAATTTGAGTATACGGTGGAGCGACTTCATAGGCTTTCCCATCCCAGGGTATCTCCAGGAATCCCCACCGCTCTTTCCTGCTAGGGTTGACCATATCCCAGAACTCTGGCGTAAACTCTTGCTCAAGGGCATTATTGAGGGTAGAAAAAATTGTCCATGATACTTCGTCAATGTGCAAATGGTATTCTACCAGCGTGAAGTCATACGTTGTTCGGCGAGCTCCTACCCAGAGTGTGCCACTAACTGCAAGGAAGCGAACATCACTGGCATCTTGCATGTTCCAGTCCATCCCGGCCGATATGTCTTTTAATCGTGCATCTTCAATTGCGATTGGGCCAGATGGATACGGTGTCTGTTTAGGCATACCAGCAACAGGTACCCTGCAGTGGTTGCACTAACTCTGACAATTGCGGTGCTTGCACAGTGCACGGGGCGCGCCGTCAGCGGCAATTGAGTGTCAAATAGCCAAACGACGGGGACCGCGCGTCGGCACTAACGCAAAACAGACCAGGCAAAACAAATTAAAAAAGGTGAACCCTATGCAACACTGGCTTTGCAGGTGCAGGTGTCCACCACACGGATTTGAGCCACAGGCTGCTGACAAAGCCCGACTGCAGAGACTGGGATCAGTCAATAGAACACAAAAAACCAAAAAGACCCTGGTCCTAGGTTTAGGCAGTTTGTGCAGTTGAAGTTCCTCCGTGGTAAAGACGTTTGTATCTAGATAAAACCGATGAAGCCGATGCTGCTGTGTTCGCGCGTGAAATTGTTGTGTGGAGAAGAAAGATGGAAGAAAGGTGCCGGTAGTAAGGGTGGGGGTTGCGTGCCAGAGCACCGAGGTGGTGTCAACAGTAAACGCTCGAGGGGGGTGGTAGGGAGGCAGGGCCATCATCTGTGAGTGTGCACGGGGTAAACTGGGAGTTGCTGGTTGTATGCGTGGGGCAGGCAGGTGTGTGCTCTAGTTCATGTTTATTTCTGGGGCTAGGGCCGAGTGGGCATTGCCCATTAGGCTAAGGTTACGCTAGAAGGACAGAGCACTGGGGAGTGTTCTCCGCAATTATCTAGAGACGTCCTGGTGAGATGGCCTACTATATATTGTGAACAGGGGGGTGCATTCTTCCTATGGTAAGCCAGCTGAATGAGGTAACATATGAAAAATTACCCTAAAGCCTCCAGACTTATGTGAACCCACCCTGTTACCCAAGGTACCCTTGGGAACAGCAGAGGCCTCATGGACAACAGAGGCTGGTATGCTTGCTGAGCCGAGATGTTTTGACGGAGATGTAGGGAGGAGTCTGCCGAGAGGGCATCTCATGTGGCGGGCGCAGTGTGCGGTGCGGGCACTGACTACTCTCTGTGGACTATAGTGCATGTGTCCAGCAAAATGCAGTAGTGCAGGGGGAGCAGGTAGAGGACCCGTTGATCATGCTAGGCTTACCCCGGGTCTAGTGTAAGGTAGGCAATCCGCCTAGGTCAAATATTCCACTATGCGGTTTTATCCTATATGGAGCGATTGTACCGGAGAATCTCAGTGGTGGCTACTTTCACTGGTCACTGATTATGGAAAAAGGCAAGAAGAAACTGCGCAGTGTTTTTTCTCTTCTGCTTCGGTTGCTGGTCGTGCATGGCAGTCTCTTGTTTGCTGAAGCATTCAAGGGGCAGTGGCCGTTCCGTGGTGCGATGGTTGCACTATCTGTGTGTTGAGGCCGATTTGACACTGCTTGCACAATGCTATTGGGGTACTTTAGCGTACCAGAATGTGCATGATACGTTGTTCCGTCGTCATCATTGCTTGGTCACAGCGAGTGATAAAGCTGC